TCTTGCTTTCAAATGTGAATTCTATTGTACCATTAAAGATACCTTCACTAGAAATGTGACAGTTGGAAATGTATTTGATGGGTGATAAATTGTTGGGGGGGTAAAAAAAATCCTCCTGGGTTTGCATGAACACCATTCTTCCAAAAGATAATGCTATATTTAGTCTTTAGATGACAGAAATTGATAGAGAGTGCTGCTCCAAATCTCTCAGAGGCGGTGGAGATTTGTTGATTTTGGCCGTGAATGGAAGAAAATAAAAAATATATATATAGAGAGAGAGAGCTCTGGGAACAGTGTCAGCGTTTAATGGAGAAACTCGGGTCAGAAAATGTTTGAATCCTCAACCTCTAAACTGAAAAATTAAATTAAATTAAATTAAAATAAGCTAAAAATAGATATGCTATTCAATGCAATAATATTGGTCATAATAAATCAATGAAAAATATACATATTAAAATAATATTAGATTTGTTTTTAGTTTTTTAAAATTTCTATTGATATTCAGATGATTGATATGATGCGTGGCCGTTTTTAATAAAATACTGAGAGAGCGCAGCAGTGTGTGGCCTTGATTCACATCATTTTCATACTCATCAGATTAATTCAGTCAGCTTTAATGCCATAAAGCATCAGTTTCTGTGCTTTAGTTATTTCAATTTGTAACCATCTTGAATTACTGACTTTAAGAGTTATAACTGCAGGCCAGATTGTCATCAAGGCTGGTCACGTTGTAATTATGACTCATCAAAATGCAGACATCTTAAGATGTAATCATTACTATTAAGTTAAACCACTTCTATACTAAAGCAGCTCCCGTGTCTGTGTGTGCTGACATCTTTAATTGTGCTTAATAAACGAACATCTAAGCAGTATTTTTTTTTTAGTGCTTTTCAGAATTTTGCTGTGTCACTGTCATACTACACAGAAGACATGTTTAAGTTCAAGCCGTGTCTGTTTCCGTAGATGTGCAGGACTTTAGATTGCAGTGAAAAATAATCTCACAGTGGGTTAAAAAAATAAATAAAAAGGGACAGGATGAAAAGACACCTGGAAACTGTTCAGAGTTCAGAGGGTTAGCATGTCATGTCCCCTTGTCTCTGTATTTTCTTCATGTTTTCATGGACTTGTCGCTGCCTATTTGCTCTTTTACCCACTTGTCTAAGTTCCCATCCTCCATTTCCCTCCTGCTGTTTCTGTTTCCCTCGTATGCGACTCAGTGTTCATGCTTTACCTGCTCACGTGTTTTGTTTTTTTTGCATTCACCTGTGATTGCAACTGCACCACCGCTCTCTCTGAATGTGTGTGTGTCCCACCGCAGAACAAGGCCTCCATTGATGATGCCAGTGGAGGCCTGGAAGGCGTCCAGAGTAGAGTAGAGTAGAGCGAGGAAAAGTAGAGTGTTTGAGGGGCCCGGATGCTGCCGGAGGGTTTTCAGTGTTTCACACAGACACAAACCTTCAGTCTCCTCTTCACATCCCTCAATGGGACTCTCAGAGGAGCATCATCACATACTCTGAGCCAAGTTGGCTCGCCCACAAAAGGCCGCAGTGGCCCCATTAGCGATGCAGGCGATCGTCCCGTTCAGTGATTTGACCCAGATAGTATTATGTGCTTACAGCCAGCCCTGTTGGGTGGTGATGTTGTACTCATTAAGGTATTATAGTACTATACAGTGATAAAACATGGCTGAACTCTGACCTCCGGATCAGCAGCACCGCCTTCGTAAACAATCATCTGTTGTGCCTTTTTATACTTTCACCGATTAAAACCCCCTCTGCCTCATTAGTGTGATGTATTCTTCATTTAATGTTTTACTGACGTTCTCATAAAGCTGTACCGTATGCCAACCTAAAGAACCTATAAAGCCCCTCTCACATATATGTAGTTCCTCATATAAAGTTCAACTACAGCTGGGTCAGCGGGTCTCTTGTATACGTTTTAGTGCCATCACTGAGATCCAGAGAGACGAGAGGGTCACGAACATGAAACGTGTGGTGTGTTTTTATGTTTAGTGAGTCATTTATGATTTATGTGATGTTTTATTATTATGTCACAAAAGGCAAAAACTGCCATGTAGCTACCTAGCTCGCATGCTAGTTAAGTAACTTTCTTAGCCACAGACTGTATATAAACAAGGACACAGCTTCCAAGTCTGAGAAGTGAAACTTATGTGACAGTGCGGTAAACCTGCCTTCTTCACAACAACCAGCAGGAGGCGACTCCTCTGGTTAAAGAAATAAGTCAGATTGCACAGAAGTCAAAGACAAAGTGAGCCTGTTTCTCACCTAATCCTTTACTTCATCATATTTTTTTTAAGTAAACTTGTGGTCTCGATCACTAGTGAATACATTCTGATTTTTATTTTGTAAATTACGAGACCATTGAAAGGGAAATAGTTGATAAAGCAGTGTAGGTTCCAGGGCAGGCCTATGCTGTGACTGACAAGTTACTATTATTATATCACTGAGAGTAGCGTCTTCGGGTTCTTTAGTCAGATCCTACTCTCTCTCTCATTATGTCTGGTTTTAAAAGACTAAAATTGTGACAGCAAAATGCCAGACTTGAGGCTTCAGTGGTTCACAAACCCACGGTCGCTACGTCCATCTTTTATATTCAGGCTGCGCTCTGGAGAGGAAACACAAAGGCAGAAATCAGAGCTGTAACAACAACAGACTGAATTAAACTTGTCCCTTATTTCTATTATGATGGCCAAATAATAATTGTAACTTCATTCATTCCAATTAAATTGTGGCTATATCACAGCTACATCATCGGTTCATTGTTTTGTTACAGCGGATTGCTGCAGATGACCACAACAGCACTCATGACCACTAGCAGCATATATTTACTTTTTTTTCCAGTTCACAAACTAGCCAATATCATACATGTTATTTTCTATATTGCTACACATATTTATCAGTACTGCCCCCGACGTGGTTTGTATATTCCAGCTGTGTGTTACACCTGTGCATCCTCACTCAGAGCTCCTCCAGCAAGCCTCCCGTCTCCTTGAGATGCATTTTAGGACCCGACAAACCCTTCAAGACGGTGCACTGACATCGATTTTGGGTCTCAGACATTAGGACAGACGATGAGGTGACTGGAAATAGAGAAATGAGATGAGCCCACTGTGTACCAAGAGATCAAGGCCTCCAATATGGCTGCCAGAGGGTGTGTTGCATTAAGTCGACCCTGTGCATGCAGGGCCCTTCCAATCCTCATTCCTATCACATCTGTATTTTCTACATCGTCTTCTGGAGCAAAAGCTGCGCAGCTTAGTGGGGGATTTTCTCCCTAAGCTGATTTATATCAGCTGATAGCCCTGCCATGAAGCTAGGCACTATAATGAATGGATGAATAGACAGATGAATAAAGCAATGAAAGGATAGTGAGGGAATGAGGCGCAGTTGTGTTAATATCCATTTGAAAGGTAATACTCGGGGTAAGGACTCAGGAGAGGTTCGCTTTGTTTCGTGTTTGTGTGTCAGCTTCTGTTTGGTCCGAAGGCACGAGAGGATGAGGAGACGGAGCGACGGACAAAGAGAAAGAAGAGGGCAGAGGTCATGTGAAAGCATGGAGGTTTAGCGAAGATGGGTGGGAAAAGGTCGCAAAGACGGAGGTGAGGGAAGGAAAGGATTTATGGATATTAAGAAAGGAACGCTGAAAGATGTTGCAGGGATTAGAGGGAAAGAAGAGAGGATGGGTGGAGAGAGAAAAAGAGGAGGACAGTGAGTGGTCTAAGTTCTGAATGAGAGGAATGGCAGAAGAACAAGTGTGAGGATGGAAAGATGACGGAGGAAAGGAGGGGCCTGCAGGCTGCTGTTGTAGAGAGAGAAGCTGAATCCTGCTCTTTAATAGGGAGTGTGAATGTGCCATGTAACTGTCAGCTTTAGTAAAATGATAAATGCACAGTGTCATGACCTCTTCTGCACATTATTCCCTTGTACAAACATCCATCTGCAGGACATTAACAGGTGACAGAATAGAGATTAAAAATTGGAATTAGAGGCTTAAAGAGCCAAATGTTAGATCCTTCTATCTCACTTTAAACCTGACTACCTTTTCATTTGTGCCTTTTGGTATTCTGAATAAAAATGTGTAAGCAAATGTAGTTAGTGTTCTACATTTGATCCTAATTGTTGTCCTTCATCATCATCGTCATCTCCTCAGGTTCACATTTTCACTGGTGCTGTGCGTACACGGTGCTTGTATTCAATATCAACACTAAACTTAACCAGCTAAACTTTAATCATAACTTTAACTCTCCAAAAATCAGTTGAAAGGCAGGTTTTCTTTAAATTAAAATCTCCAACATCACACCATTTATCATACCCAGAAACTGTAAAACAAGAAAGAATTCCAACTTTCCCGCAGTCCTTGAATGTATCATGTGTCACATGCAGCTCCAGCAGGAAAAAAAACCCAAAAAAAAACCTAAATAAGCTTGAAATTGTGATATCTCATCAAAATCACTTTCTACGTATGATGTCAAAAACAAACCATTTGAAGGAATCAGATCTGGTAAAAACAACAAAAACAGCTGGTGAGTTTTCAGGTGAACGGCATGCAGTGTTTACACAGCAGAGAGGAGGCGACAAGGACGAGTGAGAGGAAAATACAACACGCTGGATCAATAGAACAAATACAGCACGGCTCAGAAACAGTATCCAGAGAAGCAGGTTGTCCACAGGTTGCCAGATGATGGTGATACATTCGGCACGGTGAAATATCTTTATGATGTGCAGAGGAATGTGGAAAAATGCAGACTCTGTAGATGTGGTAGAAACACTGAAATATCTGTAGCATGGTGAGCCACCTGTGGATATGTTTGAAAGGTTGATTCCATATCTATCTATGTATCTATGTTTCATTTTTTTCTGAAGCATTCTAAATATGTAATACTGCAGAGAGGACATTTTTGAGGGAAAAAAAAAGAAGCATGCATCAATGGATGCTAAATTGCAAACTGTCGCCTAACGTACCTCCTTCTTCCTCCTCAGCTAAAGAAGCTGCTGCTGACTCCTCCCAACGTGCCCCCGGGCATCGATGTGCACAAAGATGGAGTCCACGCCCGTCGCTACGGCAACAGAAGCCTGCACCTACGGCCAGTCAAACCTCTGACTAAGGTGAGCCGCACGTTACCGTGAATAAGTGATAGAGTTATACGATTTCAGACGTCTTAACGCTCTCCCCTCATTTATTTATCCTGAGGCTTTCTCGGGCTGTGAAGTAGATCTGAGGCGGTGTGGTCTGTGGAAACCCCAGACACACACATCTGTGTTTTCACTGGTTAGCGCCTCATTCCCTGTGTCTTCTGAAAGCTGGCGAGATAACAAAATTGGATTTTTCCAATCACTTCCTCTCAGGGAGGCGAGTTGAGGCAGAAGTAATTCAGTGTTGCACGTAGGGGCTGCAGTCAGCATCATTGCCACTGCAGAAAGTGTCCTGGTAAACAGGCGTCTGCACTTCTTCTGCAGGTTAGAATGTCTCCAATGCAAAGAAAATATGTTGTTATTTGGGTATAAATCATCCAAACATTCACAAGTGGGCAGAATGTAAATGTTTTGTTTTTCAAGTAAGACTAATAACGATTCTTTCTTCACGTAGAACCACAGAACCAGTGAAAAAGGGGCTCAGTTGTACTGGGTGCACCCTACGAATTACAACAATTATATAACTGGGAGGCACTGTCAAAGGCCTGTACTGGTTGTATGTTTGACATGCTGAACCTGGGAAATGCTTCTCAACAGCTTTGCATCAGTCTTGCAAGACTCGGTGAAATGTGTCTCAGCCCACCCATCAACCTCCAGCCATTAGACTGACTTTCAGGGGAGAGTTTAGACATTACATCAAAGTTAGTTACAGTTTGAGAGACATTTTATCCCCCGACAGCCACAAATAAAGGAGAATGTGCTGCTGTTGCATTTAAAAACACACAGCACTAGCCGTGGGGTTTGTGCAGCGGTTCTGAATTCAAACCTGAAGCTGGTCAGCTTGGCCTTTCTGTGTGGCGTTTTCATGCTCTTTGTTTGCCTTCATGGGTTTTCTTTGGTTGCTGTGGCTTCCTCCCCCAGTCCAAAGACATGCATAGTAGGGTAACTGGCGATTTCGAAATTGGCTGTAGTTGTGAGCGCCAGCGTATACGGTTGTCTGTCGCTCTGACTACTCAATAAACTGACGGACTGGATGTAGACTTCATGTAAGCCTGCCGTTGGACATGAATTGAACAGGCCAGTCTCTACATGTCACGTTTCACTACGGAAAAAAAAAACAGCAATCACCACCACCTCTGGAAAGCAACCTGCACGCTGAAAATTTTGCATTTTGACAAATTTGGATCGTGCAGTCAGGCAGCCCTGCTAGTTTTTTATTCAGTTAATTATACGACAGTGCTTTTGTCCCTGCATGCAAATGTTTCACCAAAACAATCCCCTCAGCGCTATTTTGAGGGGACACCATTGCTACAGTCTGGGCTTAGCACCACTTGCTGATAGGTTTAAAGAAATGCAATCAAGCCAGACTGGTTTTTTTTCCACTTGTGGATAAGAGGAAAACTAGTTGTCATTGGGGGCTGCAAGGTGGCACAGTTGGTTAGCACTGTTGCCTCGCAGCAAGAAGGTCGCGGGTTCGCTTCCCTTGAGGGCATCGGGATCTTTCTGCGTGGAGTCTCCATGTTCTCCCCGTGCAGCGTGGGTTCTCTCCGGGTTCTCCGGCTTCCTCCCACACAGTCCAAAAACACGTTGAGGTTAATTGGTGATTCTAAATTGTCCGTAGGTGTGAATGTGAGTGTGCTTGGTTGTCTGTCTCTAAGTGTAGCCCTGTGATAGACTGGTGACCTGTCCAGGGTGTCCCCTGCCTTCACCCTGAGTCAGCTGGGATAGACTCCAGCCCCCCGCGACCCTAGTGAGGATTAAGCGGTGTATAGATAGTGGATGGATGGATGGATAGTTGTCATTGGTTTCAGTACAAAACCACCATCACCAGTACCTGCAGTGGCCGAAACATTTAGCGTACACAAAGACAGACAAACCCTGGCTAATCCAAAAATGAGCAAAGAGGTAAAGCAAAACTGGGGCAAGCCATCGTCCCACTGCAGCACCAACCTGCTATTCAAAGCTGGCACACCTTTAATTATACATAGCTACATTTTACCACACTTGAAGCAGGTGAAGTCTGTAAAGAAATGGCCAAGCTGGCTTTAAACATGTTTATTCCTGCTGTAACATTAGGCACAGCGCAGCCGGCTGTAGTCCATCGAGCACAACAACAGTTTCTATTTCCCAAATGATAGATATTTCATTTTAGAATAAAAACTCTGGGCGCCTTCAAGCTTGCAGAGACCTTCAGCTGCTGTTGGTGATAGATGTGGTGTTGGGGAAGAGAGGACATTTACAATGGCTGCTGCTGTATGACTTAGCAGTAATTGGATAGCTGCTAGCATTGTGCTTCAAGTGGTCATTGATTACAACACCAGTCATTTATCTTGTACAAGCATAAAGCATGGCAAGCCTTCACACAGATTTCTGCTCCTGCTCAAGCAAGGAGGATACAAAATACCCACAGGAAGCAGTGTGGGGATAAGCTGAGCCTGTATCCATCACACACACCCTCCTAACCTCGCCGCTGCTGGCAATGTGTGTGTGTGTGTGTGTGAGAGAGCTTTAGTTTTAGAGTAGCATGGCTTTGCTGTGGCAGATGGCGCGAGTATTGACTGACAGGGCAAGAGGGCAACAGTGAATCATAGTCTCTCTCTCTCTCTCTCTCTCTTTTCTCTCTGTATGAGTAATATGGAATCAGCCATTTTATCGCAGCTGCACACTGAATCATCCTTCACAAAGTCGGAAGCAAAATTTACTGCCGTGTGCTCCGTGATCCTGTATCCAGGGCAGGAAATTGAAGATACACCCTTGCGTTCATGGGTGTGTTTTTGTTGTTTGCTGGTTCATTTTTCATTCCCATGAACAGCTAGACAGTGTAATGAGATATTCCCAGTGCAAGAAAAATATTTCATCCGAAACATCAGTCGTAAATGTCAAGTTTTAGTGTGAGTTCCTCCGAATCAAAGACCGAAGGCCCCCTTCTGAGGCTGCCATTTTGTATCAGCGTCCATCGACTGAGTCGCGTCGCCGCTGACGTGTTGCATTTTGAATGTGTACGAAATCCGATTAAAGTGTTGAGTACAAAACATTTAAAAACGATTTATCACAGACATTCCTTTCAGGTTCATGAACGCATTAACACAGACGTACAGCTCACTTTCATTTGAGCTTTAATTCAAAAAGGATCTTTTGGTTTTTTCCCATTTTTAAAATAATTTTCTATTGAATTTCCACAATATTTGTTTGATTTAAATTGCCAAAAATCATTATTATAAAATCAGTAATTACTTTTGTAAAGTAGCTTTTGTGGGATTGAGACATAACGAGCAGCTAATTTGAATATTGTCCCCATTGTTCTGTTCCTTTTCTGTTAGCAGAAGCATTTCTGAGCGTAACAAAAGAGCCTGTTGTACAGTTAGCTGCTAAGACGAGTGTCCTCTGCAAATCAGGTTTTCTTTAGGGATTCTGATCAGTCGATCCTCGGTGGATGTCGGCTGCACATATTCGTCTGCCAGTGGCCACTTATTCATCACTAAATGTGTTTGTCGGGTACAAAGCCGAGACTGAACTGTGCAGCAGGTGTTCATGTTTGCTTGTCTCCGCCCTCAGAGCGACCTCCCTCAGGAGCGGAAGCCCCGAGCGGTGCGTCCGGCGGGGCGCCTGTGCACCGAGCTGCACCGCCACCTCACCACTGCCCAGGACACCGAGGACACCCCGGCCCCCGACACAGAGGAGGACGAAGAGGAGGAGGAGGACGAGGACAGTGAGTCGGAGGAGGACGAGGAGGAGGAAGCGGAAGAGGAAGAGGAGGAGGAGTCTTCCAGCAGCGAGGTGGAGGGTGGGGCAGTGGCGGCTGCTGCCCCCGCTGAGCCAGCTAAGCCTCAGTTCAGCTCGGAGAAAGAACTGCACTCGGTGGTGGAGCTGATCACGTACATGCACACCTACTGCCTGCCCACGCGCAAGCAGCAGGGCTGGGAGCGCAAGGACCGTGACCTCCCGAGGCCTCGGGCCAGACCTGAGGCCTCCCGCCCGGCCGCCACCAGCTCTCACAGCAGAGTTGTGCTGGTGGCCACTCCTGGGACTAGTGGGGGCTTGACTGGGACAAGCAACAGCGCCCCCAGGAGGCTCCCCTTTGCTAGGCGGAGGGAGATGAAGGCCAACTCCCTTCTCCGCGAGCTCCTGCAGCAGAGCAGCTCTTTTGATGTGAGCAAGCCTTACAGACTGCACAGCCCACCCTACTCCCACTCCCACAGCCCCAACAGAGGAGCAGCACTTGCCCCTTCCTCTCCTGCTAAATCAGCCCTGACCCAGTCCTACAGCTCCACCAACCCTAAACCAGAGCTTCGTAAAGACTCTTCCTCCCCCGAGAGGAGAAACGTCTCCTCTGAGCCGCCACAAAGCCTGGAGGAGGCTACAGAAAACAGCGGCTCTTTCTCAGTGCGGCGCTCCAGACGGCTGGCCTCTTTCCCCAGCCGCTTCGCCAAGAGGCTGCGGCCTGCGCGGGCGAGGGAAGGGGAGGACAGGGAGGAGAAAGAGGAGGCACGAGTGGGAATCAAACTCCTGCCCACCCAAGCAGGAGGTGGAACCACGACGGAGATGCAGCCAGAACAACTCATGTCTAGTAACGGCAGCACCGCTACAACTGAGCCGACCAAACCCTGCTGCCACGGTTAGACGAACAAGAAACACAAAAGCCACGTTCACACTGCCGGCTTTCATTCTCAGCTTTTACAGGATTCTATCCGAATTACTTGCAATCCATATCTGACATAATGTGCCGCACTGGTTGCAGCACATTTCATTGATTTTGTTTCATGAATCAAGGCATCGGCCCAAATTTGAGTGACTGCTGCTCACAGTTATTACAGTCTGACTCACATGTGACTTGACAGGTTGTGACATGATGAGCCGCAGTGTGAAAGTAGCCCAAGACACTAACATTAACAGACATGTGCTTTAATACATACATGTTAGGAGCATCTATATAATGTAAAACATGGTTGTAACAGAGATTTTTTTGTTTCTATTTGCAGAAAAGCGAGCCTGCCTCTGCCTGCCTCTCAACCCAAAGTCCACAGGGTGAGTGTCTCTATGCAGAGTACCTGTGCTGTGCTCCATCATGCAGCTGTAGCTTGGTAAAAGCACTCCTTAATGTTTCATGCCGTAGCAGTGTAAGTAATGTTGAGCATTGTGGAAGCAACCTTTTATGAATTTCAGGTGTTCGGGATGCCACACAGAGCACTCCAAAAGCTATACGGCAGCAACAATATCTGCTAGTCCATAACCAGCTATTATGTGAAACAGAAAACACCAACCGCGTAGGTTTTTCAAATAATTTATTTTGAAGCCTGAAAAAAAAAAATACAGAAGTAGTTTACTGAGCTTGGTTTGGAAGTTCTTAAAGTTGAACCTTGTGCACCTCCGGTTATTTCACATTTTTTACTCACCGGGGGCTCGATTTTCACAGCAATAGGAAGTCCGGCACCTCCATGGAAACAGAACAACCATGGCTAGAAGTAGAGAGAACTCAGACATGTTTTCTGTGCAGCATGGCACAGTGATGATGCCGTCAGTCACAAAAAAACTAAGAAAACATTAAAGTTGAATTTCTTTGATTATTTATTTAAAGTTATTTTTTTGGCCTTTGTGCCTTTACTGGATAGTGTAGTGAGAGAGAGACAGGAAAGTAGGGGAGAGGACATGTGGGAAAGGGTCATGAGCGGGATTCGAACTCATGACCTCCACATTGGGACTGTAGCCCTGTACATGGGACGCCAGCTCAACCAGGTGAGCTGTAGCGGCGCCCATTTCTTTGATTATTTTGTTTTGCAGAAAGTGTTCAGCTACTTACTATAGATGATATTTTACTCAAATGTTACATTTCATTCTATAATTGCCTTTAAATGCTCAGCCTGCAGTTCAACACATAGTCCCTGGATTCTTGAGAATTTTCTGTTTGTTTCCCAGAAAATACTGCAAGTGATTTACTTTGTTAATTGTGATCACACACTCCTTCATTATTTTGCATCAGAAAAAAAAAGCCTGCAGTAGGTTCTGCAGAGCAGGGTGGTGCAGCATTGATGCCTCCTTGGAAATCCTGCAATGGCAAACATGCTCTAACTGTAAATGCTATTGTCAGACCTTGGACCTAATGTACACGGGCCTTCACAACCCGTGCCAGACAGGTGTCAATACCAAGTAGCATCTGCTTGTTATCAACTCGATATGCAAGCTTGTAGCCCTCTAGACATTCTCCAGGTGTTTTCATTTGGTATTTTAATGTGGGATATGTTAAGTTGCTGTACGGTGCGAGTTCCAGCGTTGGTCTGTGCTTCACATCTGAGCGTGACTGGGCTCTTGCAGGTTGAATTTCCCTGCTTAGTGCCTGATGTAAATTCAGAAGTGATTCCACAGGACCTACTGTTCCACATTGCTGAGGAAATGCATTTAACATCATGGCAATTGTTTATTTATGAGTGCTGAGCAAGAAGCAGATTCCATTAAGGAGCAGAGGATTGTTTCAGCAGTGCTAATCCGACGCCTGTAAACATGCAAATTACTGAGTTAATCACCTTTGCTGTAAATTGTAAAAAAAAAAAAAAAAAAATCAGCACTAATTGATTCGATCCTATTTATTTTATTGTCTCAATTATATAATCTAATGCTTCATGTTTTGGCATAGTTCAGAAATGTTCGTGGCAGGGTCTGAAACAAAACCCTGAGTGTCACTTGCACGATCAACTTAAACAGTAGCACAGCAGTAATGTACTTATTTACGTTCTGCGTAACAAATGTTGAAGGCACTGATCTAATTTTAGACCTCAAACCACTGTTGTTCTCAGATAGTTGTAAGGGAGGAAAAAAAAAAAACAAGTCAGGGTCCATTTTTAATGCATTTCAGAATAATTTGCAGGCATGTCATGTATAATCTCATATATTTGTATTATATTCTGCACTACCAACATGTGCCAGGCCCAAATCCAGCAATTCAAGGTCTCTAATGAATCGGCACCCTGGCTGGCGTACTCAGATCCTAATCTGTGCCAGAGTGCCCACACTGCTCTTATTTTTCCAAATTAACCTCCCCGCCCATCCAGCCTCAAACCCTGGAACTTCTCCAGCTCCATCTAGTCTCAAAACTGAATGGTCTTCCTGTACAAACCTCTGGCATCCGTCCATCCTCTAAATGAATCAGTCTTCTGAAGAGCTCACCAAAAAAAAAGAAGAAGAAGAAAAAAATGTATTGTATTTTTATATTTTTTTGATTCTCCCGTTCGCTGTGGAGGGTAAGTAATATCCTGCCTGAAGCCAATCCACTCGGCACCGCTCCTGCCTTTCATGGCAACCGGAGAAACAGGAACAGACAGCCAGAAATAGTAGAGGAAGAATAGGGGATGGGACAGGGGAGTACATATGGTTGTTGTGATAAGAAATGAGGAGCACTGAGAAATGCCAGTAGCATTTATAGGGAGAAACGTAATTCAAATTCAGCAGACATCAGCTGAAAGTGGGCTGTTTTTATTTTAGGGAATAAAACAAAAAAAGAGCTCCAGCTGAGAGCCTTTTACGGCTGCTGTTGGATTCATGTTCAGTGTTTGAAACCTGCGTCGTATTCCAACATGACACAGCAATGTTTAATTTCGCTCTCTCTCTCTCTCTCTCTCCTTTCATCTGTTCTTCATCATCAGAGAGTCCCAGTACAATACCAAGCCTTTTGAGCAGACGCTCAGTGTGGATCTGTGCGGAACAGCAGGTAAACACTCGGTTGTTTGTTTCGACACATGTTGATGTCAACCGCTTACAGCTGTAAAGACGCAGTCAGTAAAGGATCGGTCGAACAAATCTTATTTCGGTTCGGCGTGGAGGTAACAGATGCAGCATAAACATTATTACAGAAAGATTGAAGGCAAATCCTCAGAGGCTTTTCATCCTGCAAACAGTTTGAGTGTTTCTGCACATTTCTAATCACTGTGAGTTCATATTTTCACTGCAGCACAAAGTCTTGCATCTCTATGGAAACAGCGCAACAATGGCTAGAAGTAGAGAGAAACCAGAAATGTCTACTGTGTAACATGACACAATTATAATACTGTAAAAGAAAAACAAAATGGAATCAAAATATATGACACCTTTCCAAGTGTCACAGATTTTAGCAATATTGGAAAAAAGGATGGCTCCATATGGTACAGATAGTAAACTGTCTACATTTTTATAACTTTAATAAACCAGGTGTTTTTATCTACATCTACTTTAGAATGCTATTTCAAAACTTGCTGATAACTAGGTCCTCAGTTTCCTTCATTTTTACTTTAACACATTTTATTTTCCTCTCAGTCTCCCGTCATCTCCTGTGCAGAATTTTTAGCTTTTCACAAGATTTGGTGAAAATGTGTTTGTTTTTTGGCAAAACTTTTCAATGATACAATAAAGCAACTGTGATGAATTATCACAAATTTCAGCTTTTATTTTCCTGATAGAACTCTACATCACACCTGATATCTTCAAAAGGTTGAAAAACTAATGATTCTCTCTGTTTTTACAGTTTCTGGCTGTTACAAAAGGTGTAATTCTGACTTTTTTTTTAATAAAAGAAAACTGAATTTTAAAACCTACCAGCTGGTTTTAGGGTGCAGAGAGAGAATATGGAGATATTTTGGGAAATAGGCGTAATCTTGCAGAGAATTGGATCCGATGAGCAATAATGTGAGTTAATGTAAAAACTGCAGCTCACAGTCCATTAGCTTAACAAAGAGATTATGGGGAAGCAGCACTAGACAGAGCTGTGCTTAAAAAACAAACTGTGGAAAGGTCACGTTTTGGCAGTGGGGGGCTCATCATGTGCATGTCTCTGTCCTCCCCACTCAGGTCTCACCCCTCCCACTACTCCACCTCACAAACCTGTGGAAGATGAGCTCTTTAAGCCTGCTGAGGGAGGAAAGAGTGGCGGCGGAGTGGGCGGTGGCAGCAGTGGCGACGGTGGAGGAGGTGGCGGCGAGTCTGTCCACCCGGCTTCAAACGCCAACGTTGCCACGAAGGGCTCGTCCTGGCTGAGCCGCTCTCACCACCAGCGGAAGCAGCCAGAGCAGACGGAGCTGTATGCCCAGCTGAGGCGCATGGGCCAGGCCGGCGACAGCGACACCCACCGCAACTTTGGCGACCACGACTACTGTGTGCTGAGCCTCGGGGAGAGCCGCAAACGCAGTGCTGCCATTCTCGACGCCATGTTGCAGGCGCAGGGAGGGAGCGATGGAGCTGGCACCCCGGCACCGAAAGCAGCCGACGATCAGGCGTTGGACGAAAAGGACAAGGAGGACGAGGAGAGGCTGGTGATGTCAGAAGTGTCCGAGCCACAGGAGCAGGAGACGACCGTGGTGATTTCTTCATCGCCGCCGTCAGACTGCCAGTCAGCGGCTGCCACTCCACCAGCTTCTGAAGAAGAGGCGGAGCGCTCGTCGGCGTCACGCTCACCCTCACCCATCCTCCACCTGTGTCCGGACTCCCCCTCCAGCAAGACAGACTCCAGGTGAGGCAACGAGTGTGAATAGAAGCAGTGGTGTACACATGTGGGTCAAGGAGATTCAAAGGGACATGTAGAGTTAACTACAGTACTTGGAGAGCTCAGTCTGAAAGAAAGTGATCAGACCTGCATCAAAACTTCATGGGTTCTTCCTTTGGCCGCGTTCCACCTCTTTGTACGGTTTCATGAACTTGAGCCAGTCAGTTTTTGCAAACAGACATAAGTAAGAATGTGGTAGAGGGACGGAAACATGAAGAGAGAAAGAGGAACATTTCTCATTTCTAACTTTTACATGATGGGATTCACCTGTTGAAGCAGAGGTCTTCATGAGTCTGGCTCTGCTGGAGGTCTGCTCCCCTTTAAAGGGACTTCTTCTCCACTGTTGCT